CGCATAAGTACACCAGATACGTCTATCGGCTGCTCTGGTGCGAACTCGGGAACGGGTAACGCAACACTGTGGTAAGCTGGCGTGCAAGCTTTAAGTTGCTCCATTTAAAAAAAGGGCAGGGAATCAATCCTTTCTTATGCGTGCTGATGGTACCCACCCCTCCCCTCCCTCCCCAGCTCATCTTCTCCCAAACATAAACTCACGGGTGAGCGCACTCCCCCGAAGGGTTGGGAGCTCTCAGTTGGGTGCCCTTCCCTGACTGGGGGAATTCACACCTTGGACTTCACCTTCCACTTTCATAGGTTAAAGCAGGAGAAGATAGGCTGTCTTCAACCCTTTTTATAAATGAAGGGAAGCCCTTCTCATTATTTTTAATTCTTTGGAGAAAGAAGAGTGCATAAAAGCAGATGTTTGGAGCACTCACCTGTGAGAGAGAAGTTCTGAGTCCAGGTCTCTGACTCCAAGGACTGTTCGAGTGAACTGTCCCCACCACACAGACCTATCTCCAGAATGAAAGGTTCGGAAGACCTAGGATTAAGCTAAATCATCTTTAAATACAGACGACTTGATTTATTAAATCAATAATAAATCAAGCAGACCAGCAGAGACCGAGAATTTCCCACGACTGTATGAGCACCCAGTCAGAAGGGCAGCAGTGCAAAACTTATTACTCAGTTCTGCACTCATTAATGTTTGAATGACTAAGGTACTGAAATGCAGTACAGAAGGAACATTAATTTTATGGAAGGTAATGAATTCAAACTCAGAAACCAACCTTTGCCTTGCACCACTGTAAAAATATTTAGCATTTACTATATACATATTTTATGTCTTCAAAGTGCTGAAATTTTTTAATGAATTATGAAATCCCCGGGAGAAGTACTTAAAGTTGCATACCCCTGTGCTGAAGAAGAAGGAACCAAGGAAAGGAAAAAGGTTAAGTGAGTATCTGAGGCCAGAAAATAGGCAATAGGAGGGAGAATTGTGATTAGGCTTCAAGCACTCGTAATTTTTAGCTCCCAAAACATATGCCCTCAAGAAAAAAGGAAAAGAATCCAATCTGTGCATGCACTTCCACCATAATAAACACAAATACACTTGGGCACTTAATACCACCGACACAGAAGGTTCTGTGAAAAAGAGAGTTTAACAAAGAACATTTGCCTGAGTAATATGGTAAAGGAGAGCAAAAAAGTAGCATCAGCTCTTGCCTGATGAGTGCCAAACATGCGCTTATCTTACTCTTCCCAAAAGAGAAATGCACGCCTTCTATGACTTTCTGAGGCTAATTGCTCCTATTGTGTGTGACATCGCAACAAGACTCTGCTATTATGATACCATTTTTGTGATAGCTATAGATGTCCCACGCGTGAAGGATTTCGCCATCTAGTTACTGTGGGACACAAATCTGAGAAGTGGGAGGGGGGAAGGAAGGGGGAAAGGGAACGGCCTGCACCACGCAGCTCCTGCTGTCTGCTACGCCTGATAGGGGTGGCTGGTTAACGGAGTGAGAGGGAGGGATGGAGGGAGGCGAGGCTCCTCCGCGTTACCTGCTCTCCACTCATCCACCTCCCTTCCCCTCCCAGCAGTCGCGGTTCTGACATGGTCTCCTAACCACTTCATGACTGTCTTTTAAAAAAGAATTAAGGACATTTTCACTTCTATTTATTTAACTTGACCTGCTTGATTTCAAGAAAACACATTCACGTAAGAAATAAAATTTCTTATTCTTCTTGCTAACTTCCTCTGTGACAGAAGACGATAGTGAGTAATTATTTCAGATACCTGGTGTAGAGTCACGTAGCCGATCACATTACAAAGTGTTTGTACATCTTCATCTGCTTCAAGTCTTTCTAATTACTCATATATTTACTGGAAAAGCTGTAGGACAGTATGTATTCAGGTCTTCAAGGTCATGGGCTGTGTTGGAGACAACTTTCATCAGGTGAATAGAATTATCTAAGGAGAACTTACTTTAGGCTTCAGTCCTACAGACAGGGAAGACTCAGTTGATAATCTGAGACAGAGAGTGACTGTACTGAAAGTGATCGCAAACCGGTAAGATTGATCATGGAAATTATATACTCTCCAAGGAAAGAAAGGAGGAAAGCAACAGGAAAGAATACCTGGACAGCATCCGCAGAAGAAACAGGAGCTGGGTGGAAGGCAGTCCCGATGTATTCAGCCAGCTTAATGAACTTCATGCACTAGCACTTTAGGAGATGTCACAGATTTACCTAAACTAGGAGCAATTAGCCTCAGAAAGTCATAGAAGATACTGAAAGGACCAAAGAAGGGCTAAAAGAATATTTAAGGGAGAAAAGGAAGTTTCGGAAAGTTACAGTCAGCCTAATGGCAGGGACCATCAAGTTACTAGAAAAGTTGTTTAAAAATCCAGTCACCATCCCCTGGTCAAAACATTTAGGAATATGCGCATGTATGTGTGTATATCTATGTATATGTTATTGAGGATAACGAAGAAAAAGTGTAATATTGCCTGCCATGTGTTACCCGACAGAGCTTCTGTGGGCCAAGAAAAATTCAAGATGTTTATAACGAGCTTGCTCAGTGTGAATCAACTCAGATCAAATTTCTTTCCTCTGGTAGAAAACTGGCCAACTAAACCAGCAGCAGCAAGGAGAAGCCCAGCAGGACTTGGACACCAATGGTGAGACTCCTGAAGCGGCGACACGTGGCATGCCCCTCACACAAACTAGCTTCAGTCAAAATGCAGTGGTTGCACAAGGATTTGAAATGCATGGTTAGATAATAATTATCGATATTGAAGCACAAGTGGACTGGAACATGCCGAGGGAACATGCTCCATTGCCATGGCTTGGAGGAGAGCTCAGGCTCTCTGGGGAGGATCCAGGAGTCAAGGACCTTTCAGAACAGGGCAAAAACTGA